CCCTTCATGGCTGGACCCTTTTCCTGCCCAACAGCCTCCTCCTGGGACTCCTGGGCCTGCCCCACTCTTCCTCACTCCCCACTCTGCCATCTCCCACGTATGTTGTGGTACGCTATATACGCTGCAGTTGGGTGTTATTGCACAGTCCCGCAGGGGCCTGTCATCCTCCGCCCATCTGTCCCTATAATGCAGTGCCACCAGCCCAGGACTGGATGGTCCTCCTCCGCCACCCTAGCACACCAGAATGTCAGCCCTGGATCAAGGATGGGGACATGATCTTACCTGAAGGAAGAGCTTCTGGAGGGCTCACACTACCACCACCACGAACTGCAACATACCAGAAGGCAGAGGAGACCTCAGGGCTGGGCCATGCCAAGGGAGTGTTCCCCCCACCATGTTCCCCATTTCACGGCCAGAGCCCCCTCCCTGCCCGCCGACCTCCTCAGGGGACGCCTGCGCCTGCCCCAACCTTCCTGCCCTCCCGCTGCCACCCAATACATACGACTTCTTATAAGATATATGGTGCTGTTGGGAGTTATTGCATAGTCTCGCAGGGTCCTGCCATCTTCCAGCAGTCTGCTTGCGTGAACCAGTTTCACTTCCTCAGAGCCATGTGGCACCTTGGCCTTTAGCTCTTGCACGGTGTCATCCGGGCTCACGAGCACGTAGTAAGAATCTTCCTTCAATAGACCCTGAATGTGGACGTGGAAGGCAGGCTCCTGGGGGTGCTCCATGGCGCCTGCTGCCAGGGAAGGCCCCTTGGCCCCGCTCTGCGCCCCTTGGAGCCCTTTGGTCCCGTCGGGGCGAGCGGCGGCTCGCTGGGACGGGCAGTTCCGGCGCTAGTTGCTCTCCCAGCCTCTGCCCACTCCCTCGGCCCCGTCTCTTCCTCGGAAACCGAAAGTGCTGTTGACGTCAGGGCGGCCGCGCCGCCCCGCAGCCGCTCTGCCCGCCGGGCTGCGCGCGCCCGCTCCGCCAGCCCCTCTGCTGCCCCAGCCTCCCCCCATCACCCCTTCTCCTGTCTCGTTCCCTTCTTTTCCCCTTTCTCCCCGCTCTCTTTCCTGCCTGCACTCCCCGCCCTCGCTTCCTCTCCCCCATCCCAGGATGGTCCCCGCAAGCCCAGCCTGGGGCTCCTTCCCTGCGGCTGTGGGGAAGGAGGGGACCCGCACACTCCCTGCACTCGCCGCAGCGCCGCAGGCAACGCTGGACCCGCATCCTGCAGCTCTGCTGCGCTCTAGGCACCATGACGTGGGAGGGGGACGCTCATCTGGGGGACATGGGGCATACGCAGCTGCTTATCTTCACCTTTCCGCCCTGCAGGTTCTCTTGGGGTCGCTTGGGTCTCTCTACAAGTACCGCACAGGCAGCAGCGGGGGAGCCGCGCGGTGCTGCTGGCCAAGCCTTGCCAGCTCCGCAGGCAGGGCAGCAGCAGCAGAGCTTGTTTGCAGGCCCTGCCCCACTGCCCCCTGCAGCCCCACTGCCCAGCAGCCCCCAGAGCACAAGGGCCAAGCGCTGGGCCACTTGCTGCAGCCCTCCGGAGCACCAGCAATGGCTCGGGAGCCAGGCAGGTGGCAAGAGGGGAAGGGCAGGACATGAGCGGGGCCGTTCGGGTCCATTTGTCCTGGCATTGCGGCTATCTGGTCCTAGGGGCTAGAAGTGGTATCTCCACGGGGTCTGGCAGCCCGAGGAACCAGACTGTCCACGGAGGGTGGGTTTGTGGGTTCCTGCCTTGGTGCTTCCCTCCCATGGTACAACCCGTGCCAGGGAGAGCCGAGCAGCAGCATCCAGGATTGCACAGACAACATCCCTGAGCCCCAGGGACTGCCCATATGTCCTCATCTGGGTACCAGGGGCACTACGGGCCGTGCCTGAGGATGACACGGCCACCCACAGCCCTGGGGATGGAGCGGAGGCACCT